ATATATATATATTTTGTGCTCGTTTGAAAAAGGGACAGCAGGAGTGAAAATCTATTTAAACCTGTTTCTCCTTCTCCTCAGCTTTTGTATGAGGTGGAGGAAGCTTGTATCTTGTTTCAAGCCTTCATTGTCAAAATCCTGGAAGGGTTCATTGAATCTAAAGGGCTCACGATGTGGGAGATGTCAGCTGAGAGGTAAAACTGTTTTTCTCATACCCCAAGGTCATGTTCACAATGGTTTAATGAAGCTCATTGTTGCTATGAACACCATCTTTTCACCTCGAAGTAGAGCAGAGGTGTTCTCGTAAAGGTTGAGAACTCTCCAAATCTTTGGAACAGCTCTCTACAGGAAATAGTTTTTACTTTATTTGATTTTATTTCATGTTGCATAATTAACATACAGATCAAAGATATTAAGAAAATAATAATAATAATAATAACAGTGCAGGGAAAGGAATAAGCCCAGTGTATTTATATAAAGCCTCCACCCAATACATATAGATAATACAAATAATACAGTCAATTGATCATACATTTAGGAAAAAAATACATAATAAAAAACACATCTACAAAGTATTAATGGAAATTTGAATAAAATATGTAACAATTAAAAAGTCACGCTCATAATTATTTAATTAAATAAAGCTTTAAACAATGTTTAAACTCTTTTTACAGAAGGCCTGCCTGTTACCAAATGTGAAAAATCCTTCCAAACATGAGCATCCCTGTAACGGAGAGAAAACTGACCTCTACCGGTCTGATATTTAGGAATTAAATTAATAATTCAGATATAATATTTGGATTAGGATAATAATTAGGATTTTTTTTTACTATGTTTCTACCCAATTTTTTTTTTCTTCCCGAAACAAGAAATAATGTGATGAAGTCCAACAAAGTTCAGTCAGCTCATATGGACGGTTTCGTATTTGTTGAGATGTTTCGTTCTTCACCCAAAGGACTTCTTCAGTCCGAGGAGCCGCAGACAAACTGAGTCCCACAAGCAGCACACTCACTTAGTGGACCAACCAGTTTGCTGGTGATAAGATGGTTTCTGGAGTCCACCCTCTCCCCTGTCGACTCCTGAGGCTGGTCGGTCCACCATGTGAGTGTGCTGCTTGTGGGACTGAGTTTGTTTGTGGTGTCTCAAACCAATGAAGCCCGTTGGCTGAAGGATGAAATATCTCAACAACAACAACAACAACAAAAAAACATCCAGATGACCTGACTGAACTTTGTTGGATTTTTCACCTGGATTATTGAGCATGAAGCTTGAGTGTGATGTAGTGTTCCAGTCAAACCAACCTTTTGTTCTTGAAGTTGGGCTTTCACTACTTTGACCTCTGATGATGGAGGTTTCTGGTTGGCTGTGAGCTCTTCAATCTCACTGACCCATGTAACCAAAGCATCCAGGTTCTGGAGAAACGTTTCAGAATCTGTGGACACGTTCCTGAGTGCCAAGGCAGATTTTGTTCCCTGACAAAACACACATGCATAATACAAGACAGTAGATTCATTTCTGAAAATAAAATTAAATAATAATAAAAAGCTGATATTTTACCGCTCTAACACAGAAAGCAGAAAACATACCATCCACCTGTCCAAACTAGAATCTTGGTCTGAACATGAACGTCCATCACTTTGGAGCTGCGAAGTAAAGAAATGCCAGTTCATAAAATGTATGTTGCAGACAAACCCTTTATCATGTGATGCAGTCAAATGATGGATTTAAGACAGAAGTGAAGGTTAAAATTTTAAATATGGATTAAATAAATACAGAAATGGAAACAAATATGAAATTTATTATATTTGAAAATCAGTCATTCAACCTCAGCAAGTTCTTCTGCAACACCATTCAGGACTCTAACTGTTCTGGTGACTACGGGGTTCCCTCCTTTATCTCCCGGTGGATATTCTGTGACTTCCACAATTTCTGTTACAATTGTCTCTGTGACCTCAGTCACTTCTGTGACCTCACGTGACGCCACCGTCTTCCAGGACCAGGGGCTCCCTTCTCTGGAGTCTCTTCTCTGGAAACTGGCCCTCCTGTCTGCAGCATTCTTGTCCAAGTGAGCCAGTGGAGACCTGGCAAACTCCGGAGTCACAGTCCTCCTCATTAGTGTCCCATTTCGGGAGGTTTTTATTGGAGAAGGGCTGTTGTGCCAGGCATTTTCCAAAGTACTACTACTCCTAATAGTAGAAGCAGGAGAGCTATGAAGGGGTTTATCTGAAATGGGAGTATGAACACCGTTCTCTCTTTTACATTCTACTTCTTGTTCCTCGTTTTCTCTTTCCACCTCTCTCTTCTTGTTCTCATTTTCCACAGCTTTGTCTTTCAAATCCTCTTCTAGCTTGGCCTCATGTTGCTCAGCAGGCTGACACTCCTTTCGTTGCTGGTAGCACTCCTTCAAGAAGCCCTCATCTGTCCGCACATGCTTGGATTTCTGGCCCAGGCAACTGGGCCGGCTGATGAGGTTACCCATAATCCTTCAGCCCACAGCCTAGGGAGGTAATAGGTGAGGGAAGACCCCTTGGCCATTCATGCGGATGATCCCTCAGCTACCTAAAATAAAACAAGGGGGCTCAGAGTCATCATGCAATTAAAAAATAAAGCTCATTTTTTAAATATATATTTAATTATTATTATATTTTAACAAAATTTTCTTTTAGATGTCTGGTTTTACATCACTAACAACTCTTTGCCACTGCCAGATCTCCAAAATAGTGTCATAAATTGGAACTAATGTTATATATCAGTCGTGCAAAATTTTGGCCATTGTTATTGTTCTGGCACCAAAGGACCAGAAGAACATACAAAATGGTGATTTGGCCAAGCTGTTCCCATCTTTCTCTTTTTTTAAATTTAAACACATACACACATTCTCTCTGATACCTCACACCAAAAACTGATTTTTTTTTTTTCTGGGCTTCAAAATCAATTTGACAGGCTTGTCAGGAACCCCAGTGCTGAGCCTGGCATGGAGAAACCAGAGGCAAACAGCCAGCTCGTTGTACAGTGCAGCTTGGACCAGTCCTGGGAAACCCATTTAGGATGTGATCGAGAATGACAGCCATAAAAATGCAAACATCGCCCAGTTTCTCCAGGGTGGCAATTGGATGGGTAAAACTACAACAACTGGTTTGGTAGGTTTAAACTTGCAAGCTTAATATCATGCAGCATGACTTAGCTGCTCGTAGGTCACCATTTACAATTTGTAACGGAATATTTCTATTACATACTAGAAGTTTCACAATCCTATATGAATATAGTCAACATCTTATTGTTACTGACAGTTCCAAACTGTCCTAACTCAGTTCCTTCATTGTTGTGACAGAGGTCAAAGGTGAATGTAATTATCTTGACATGGAGGATCTGAGGTGAGCCCTTTAGGAGATCACAGGGAGGGTTCCTGTTGAAGCCAGTTCCTCCCTCTGAGGGGGGGGGTTACTCTGCTCCATTCAAAATTATACAGGTCACTAAAAGTCATGCTTGGTGACTAATGATCAGGTGGGGGGTGGGGGGACTGGGGGTCAGTAAAGAAGATGTTTGGATGATAGTTCTTCAAACTGATAGGAATATTTTTTTTCAGTTTTGACAATGGAGATGCAAAGTGCTGTACAAACACAGTAACATGTTGTGGCTGATTAAAATACGCTGAATATGCAGCTCTTTTATCCTTGTCTGAGGCTAGACAAAGAAACTCTGCACCCAAGGAGAATGTGCTACTATACTTCCAAATCCCACCCCAAATTTGAATTAAATTGAATTTGGGTGAATGATTACACCACAAATTAAAACAATAAAAACACAAACTCAATGATAATTTAAATATGACCTAGTTTGATATCATCACTCCATGTGCATTAGGAATTACTCGCATCCTGCCTGTCTGCTGAGCAGATGATGCAGTCCAGGGGTCCACAGGGGAGCACAGATCAGAGTAGTGCCCAGACAAAGACCCCGCCTCAAGATCAATGATTACCCAGTTAGCTCAGATCACTGCCCTGCAGTCTCCTGAGGAGAGCAGAGTGTCTGTGCCCAACTGCACACCAGCTAACAATTTAGCTGTGTCTGGTTACTGTACCACACTACGAGTAAATTTCACACTTTCCTCCATAGTGATCTCACACTATATGTTGCTGCTGATCTGTTTCATGTTGCTGCTGATCTGTTTTATGTTGCTGCTGATCTGTTTCATGTTGCTGCTGATCTGTTTCATGTTGCTGCTGATCTGTTTCATGTTGCTGCTGATCTGTTTCAATGTTAATGTGTTCATGCGTGCACATCTGCTCACAGACTCATGTTCATGTTTGTGCTGATGTTCAATGTTTTATGTTATGAGTGCTTAGTGTATATTTAGTTGATGTTTTTCTTAGTTCATATCTTAGATGTTATCATTGTTTTTCTTTTACATTTTATTGTTGGATGTAACTGGGACCCTGTGTACATAATTTCGCTCCACCACATGTACCACATGAGGTGCGAATGACAATAAAGAATCTCTGACTCTGACTCTTTGCATGCGGAGTATTCTTACAAAATGGTTTAACAATGACTTACTATTCCATTGAAATTTAAAGTCTACAGGTGTTTTATTTTACATGATGTGAAATAGATCCATCTCTATGCTGATATAAGGAATGCAAAAACAATGGGAACTCTGTAATTTTATACTTCTTTGGACAAAACAAGGTAGTTACAATACAGTGACCTACATTTACCTAAATGAAAACAAACCTGATAGATTTTCTCATCGAGCCATATTTTTAACTCCCAAGTAGAATATGGGGAACAGATAGCCAGTTTACTATTTAACGTATATTCCAAATGGCCGACCCATTCCAGCACTTAACCTTTTGTAAAAGGGCTCTCCAGATCAGTCTCTTTTCTGCTTTCAGTGTGATTTATGACTGCAGTTCATTCTGGGATTAATTAGATTATAGCCATGGTGTAGGGGCCTCTCTACAGCAGAGCAAGATAAATTGGAAATTTAAAGTGCTAATATAATGAGGAGTTTATGATTTTTGCAGGTTTCAAGTCTCAGTCATTCAAGATATGGAAAATTTTAAAAAGTTAAAAGACAAAACAAGTGCGCTCATTCTAAAGTTGAAGATGTTCCTATGCACGGAGTTATCTCAGTTCAAAACTGGAGGGTGTGGAGCTCCAAGCTTTAAACTGCATGAGATGATAAATCCACATGCAGATGCTACTGTATATATTTATATACCTTTAATGGGTTTGTTTTGGTAAGCCATATTCAGTAATCTAATACTCAGTATGAACCAAAGTGAGATGCATGTTGTTCTCCACAGGTTTAAAATGATAATTTTAACCATATAACATTATACATGTTTAATTAATCCATACATATGGTTCAATACGTCCTGTGTGTATGGATTTGTAATTAGCAGCTGAGCCATAACCATCGGTCAGAACAGTGGAGTCACTTAATGTTGTCTCATGGATGTCTGCCGCTCTCTCTTAACAGGGGTCCTGAAGTAGTAATCATTGAAGTGGTCCCTAATCAAAGATGGCAGCTGTGCATTTACCCATGAGACTCATAACATTTGAAGGTTGATATTGTACAAGGTCAGACATTTCATTTTTATTTATACTAAAGGTTCTGAAAGTAGATAACCTAAAGCTGCTGTGGGATAATATCAGCAGGGTTTCTGTCAGAATGTTACTGAAAATAAAAGTGTGTGTTGAAATATGACACTACAAAAACCAAGAACAAACTGTTGAATTAAATTTAAAAAAAAATACTCACATTACTGTGGTCCATTCATAATGATGTAGTTTCTACTGGAATACCTCATCATTTCCAGATTTTTTTCTTAATGTAGTTAAAATAAATTTTATTTTTAATCCCTCTATCAGAATATAGTTTATCTTTTGTGATTTCTTGGTTTCCTGGCGGAGCAGCAAACACTAAACCCAGCCTGTCTTTCTGGGCCAACTCTAAGGTAATGGCAGTTTTGGCGGTTAGAAGCTCACGTGAATTATACTCACCCCAAAGCAGAACTGAACCAACAGCATGGAGTAAAGGAATCCAGCAAGCCCTCATTCACCATTCAGAAGGGAGAGAAAGGAGGGGAGAGAAAAAATCCGGCTTTGTTTGAGCATCCTTTGAACGGCCTCTGAGCTCCAACATCCCAAACTGTAGGTTCCTCACAAACACCACATGCATCCTCCCCCAGTGCACACTCAGAGTCCACCTATTTACACACAGTCACCTACAAACACACTTTCTAAACACATGTCCTGATAACTCATGCTTTCCCGTTGCCCTCAGTCACTGACAAACAATGCCCCCTTCTCCCCTCACAGTGCACCCTTCCCCTCCCCTCCCTTCACTTCACTTCTCCTCCCACCGGCTCTGCTCCTCTCCATTTCTTCTTTGTTGTGGGAGCTGTGATAGAGGCATTCCTTCCTTGTTAACGCACCGATGGGACAGTGCGCCAAGATGAAGACAATGTATTCCAACGGCTCAGTTGAACTCCCACAGTTCCCAGCCAAGAGCAGTTTTCACAGGGAGGTCACTTGTGCACGATCCACGTAACACCCCAGTGGTTGGAGTTCCTCTCTGCCACTCAGGCTGTCCCCCAGGAGTACCAGGCAGCTAGGCAGCAAAGTGCCTTCTTTACCTTCTTCCAGCTTTTTTTCATTTTCTTTTGGGGTGTTCCACATTCTCCCCCCTTCTCATCCCAGAAAGCCCCTCCTCTGAGGCTCAGAAACTCTGCTTCTGCTTGAAAAATGGGGTGGGGGCAGCAAAACAAACAAAAAAAGGAGAGTTTTCTAAAGACCCCTGGGCTGCCCTCGAAACATTCACATGTTAAGTGACAGCTGCCTCAGCCCATTCCCTCTGTGGATGGCAAAAGAGAGAAGTGAAACCTACAAAAGGAGGGTCCCACACCCACCCTACAACCCACCCAGTCCCACATTCACACTGTACCCCTGTGCAGCCCCGCATTCCCCATTCATAGTCACTACAGCAGTCTCCACAGCAGCAACAAATGGCAGCTAATTACTGTAAAACATCTCAGATTGCTTTTCCACTTGCTTACAGCCATTTCAGCTCAAGTCTTTAAACACAGAGGATGGAGGCAAACACAGAATAAAGCAATGAAGATAATTCAGTTCATTCTGTGGTGTTG